CCAAACTTCAAATGTTAACATAAAAACTAGAATAAAATATCTTAGAATAATCCTTATCTTTCTTTTCATCTTTTAAAGCATTAACCCTATGATTCTTGGGTCATGAGTCAGGTTCAGCCCTCTAGGATTTTTAAAAGGAAGATTTGTTCTTCATGTTAGGATGGTTACATGACGTGTTTTTCCTCTTTTGGAACTTCTTTTCCTCTTCTAGCCTAATAAATCTTAGTGATCTATTCTTGAATTCATCCAATTTTTTGCACAGAGTCATGAAAATATCCTCGTAGAATGGAGAATCTTTCTTCAATCTCATCTTGAAGGATTTCAAGATAGTTTCAACATCTAGTTGTGGAATATTTAAGGCTTCTTTGCCAAACCAACTAACATAATCCCTCAAGGACTCATCATTGTCTTGATTTACAATGTAAAGGTCTATTGTTAGTTTCTCAAAAGTTCTAGTACAAGAAAATTGATTATTAGATAGGTTAACAAAATGTGAGAAAGAAGTAATAGAGTAAGGAGGAGCATTTAGGAGCCACTTTAGTGTAGATCCTATAAGGGTTGAACCGAAACCCTTCCATAAACAAGCATGCTTAAGATGTTAAGGAATTGGAACTATCTTCATGTGTTTTGTATATTGGGTGACGTGCTCTTCAGGATCCTTGGTTCATCGTACATCTTCATATTGGGCATCTAAAACCTCATTGGAACAGCGATGCCAAAAATGGATGATTCGGATATTCAGACTTATAGTTGATAAGCTGGTATAGGTTGAATGACACCCAGTACACTTAAGATCATATCTTTTAAATTCTTGAGTTCCCCGGCCATGACTAGTCTTATCCTTGGATCTTGGGTACTAAACAGGATATTGAATATCCCTCCAAGATCTTGGGAGGCAGGTCCTCCTGTGTTAACAGTTACACCATATGTGAAGATGGTCACTTGTCTTCATATGAAGTCGCTGGCATGGTGTTCTGAAGATGTACTGGTTTCAAAGTTTAGGACCCTAGGCTGCAAGACTGAAGAAGAAATTAGTCTAGTTTCCATAGGCCTTCTTGAATCTGAACATAAGTTTTCCATTCTTCTGAACATCTTGTGGGACTCATTTTTTCACAGTTATATGGTGATCCATTATGGCCAACATGTATATTATCATGTTGTTTAAGGTCGTAATCGGTATTTATTGGCTTGTACCTTCTGAATATTAGGCTGCAGAAAATGTTGAGACAATGCTTTTAGGGATTTTGACATTCCTTCTTTGTGGGTTGACAACAAGAGGTGGGGGTAAGCTCTAACAAACGGAGATGGATGGAATATTTCTACAAGTGGAATTTGGTTAAAAATGATATTTTAGTGCAAAACGTGTATATGATTGGAAAATTCGAGAAAAATCTATTTGAATAAGTCAAAGTAAATGTAATAACACCACTTGTCCCATATATGGCACCAAATTATTTTGGTCAAAAAATAATAGACTAATTTCTTAACCAAGTTAGTAAGCGTAGTGTGTTATTTAAAATAAGATGTGTAAAACTAGAGTGCTTGAAATTTTCAAATATGTCAAAGATCTTGGTTGTGTTGAAGATCTTGGGAAGAAAACTATTGTAAGAACCTAAAATTTAGAGAGATTTGACTTTAAAATATTATCGAAAAGGGGAAAGTGGTCATTTATGGGAATTTGCTAAGTTTATGAAGTAGTGAGTTAATGAAAATGGCCAAGATAAGTTTAAGTCACTAAGATGAGGTTAGATGACTAAGTTGAAGAGTAGAAATGCAATTTGCCCAAAATGGTAAAATGGGAAATTTTTTGTTTTTAGGCTAACTTTGTGAGCTAATAGATTAAAACCCATATTAAGTCAGTGATTACTAACATACAAGAGTTGTAGAATGTATGCCACCTTCGTGTGGAAATAAAGATCATAGAAACCAGTATAAGAGAGAGGAGGTATGAAGGTTAGAAGTTGGGATAAAAGTTATCCGCATGGCTAGAATGGAATCAATAATGAAGTATGTTGATCTATAGCCACCACGGTATGGAAAAGGCATTACCACAACGTGGTGAGGATAACGGAGACTAAGTAGAGGGCAATGTACTTTACCCCACGATGTGGTATATGGGTGTCAAGACACAGTGGCCAAAGTAAGATGTTGTAAGGGGAAGGCATCATGGCTCCGTAAGTGGCTCGCCACAACGTAAAATCTCCCACCATGGCATGGTAGAGTCCTCATCGTGGTGAAATTTTGTGATATATTAATTTATCATTTATTGTTAATTCTCTCCAAAACACACCATGGTAGAATCCTCATCGTAGACCAGTTGTGTGACAGATTAATTTATCAGATATAGTTAATTCTGTCCAAAACACACCCCAAACCCTCCTAATCCAAGATCTAATGATTTTGATACAAAATAATGATCAAGTGGAGATTTTGGGTGTTTATGGAAAGGATTGAACATCAAAATCTCATGATATAATCATCTTCTCCACTTTCAAGCTACTTAGGGATTTAATGGTGTTTTCTGATTTGAGCTAATTATGCAAGACTGTTCTAAGAAGGCATGTTAGTAATGTTTAATCAAGTGTTTAAAAGCCTTGAACAACCATTATATCTGATTTCCATAGTTAAATCCATATATATATATATATATATATATATATATATATATATATATATATATACATATATATATATATACATATATATATATATATATATATATATATATATATGAAGTTAGGGTTTGAAACCCTAACTAGTGGTAATGTTCAATTGATACATTAAGTTAGAGTGTGTTCAATTAGGTAGTATGGGATGCATGATTCATTAGTTGGAATAGGTTAGGAAATAGAAAGTCGGAAAATAGAATTATTATCCATTAAGTGGTCATTTGGACCAAGAGAATCATTAGACTCTTAATAGGCTAAGACAAGTTTTACGAAACTTGATATGTTTTATGAATATGCCTTTAGTAAAGAAGATAGATTAAGAATGCATCAATGGAAGAATGAACCCAAGGAGTAGTTAGAGTTCACTAATTAACAAGGTGAGTTATATCATTTCTCTCTCTCTCTCTCTCTCTCTATCTCTCTCTCTCTCTCTCTCTCTCTCTCTTTTCTTTCTCACAATCATACACTCTCTCTCACACACACTAGAATATATATGCATGTTATGTTATGTTATATATATATATATATATGTATATGTGTGTGTATGTGTGTGTATGTGTTTATATATGTTAGATCTTGAGGCACTAACTAAATGCCCTTAAGTTATTAGATGAAGTTAGATGGTGAATGTACGTTAAAATCATGTATCAGAGCATGTTGGTATATAGAGTGTATGTATGGGGTATACATTTAGAAACATGTACTAGAGCATGTATGTAATCCTTTAGTATGTTTTGTTTGATGGGAATGGTAATTGTTAAATACCTAAGAGATGGTAGAAAGAGGTAGAATATTATTATATGCATTATAATCTTATGAATGAGTAAGTATATAAGTGAAGATGTTAGTGGTATTATGTAGAATACCTATGTGCATGAGATGAAGATGGATATTAACCACTTAATGAGTTAAGTACTACATGAGTAGTAGAAGATCTCTTGAGGAGATAATGAGAGAGAATTTCTATGGGAAAGTTATTAAGTAACACTATGGTAAGACCATAACATATGTACGAGAGATTTTCGGAAGAATAGAATGATGATTTCCTTCATAATAAGACTACAATTCCTTTTGTGATGCAAATAGATGGCCCCTAGCATAATGTAATTGTGGTGATTATAAGAGGTAGAGGAAAGATTTCTATGAGTGGAATAAGACAAGAGAGTTCTTGAAAGAACGTAGATATAATCTGTGAGGGATTATGAGTAAGGAAATCCATGAGGGATTCAAGAGAAAAATAATTTTCAAGGACCCACGATGGATCTAAGGATCAGGATCAAGTTCACATGAGTGTACCCGGTAAGAGGAAGATTATACTAGCATGAAAACAAATAGAATATAAGTAGAAGATGGAGTAAGCGATAAGATAATTTTAAAAAAAAAAGTGAGAGCGTAAGAATATGAAAAGAGGAAGAGTAGTTTAATAAGGTGAGAGAAAGATGAGATTAGATTTCTAGAGTACAAGAAAATAGATAAAAGAAAGTTAGAGTATGTAAAGAAAGAAAGGTAAGAGGAAGATTAGATTAACATGAAAACAAATAAAATATAAGTTACCATACATTGTTTTCTGGTCTTATAGAGATATTTCTTGTTTTGAAGGTTCATGTAACAGCCGTTGTACGTGAGAAGATAGGAGCGCGAGGACTTAGACTTGATTGTTATCTTAGTTGCATTTTCCTTGTGGTTTTAATCTATATTTATATTTTGTTGTAAACCCCAACCTAACCCTTGGATGTAAATTTTTTGAGTTACTAGTATTCTGCAAATTTTACATAGAAACTCTAATAATTCCCTAGAATAAATACTTAATTAGATGTCAGAAAGTTTTGGTTGAAACAACTATAATATTCAGGTTATTGTTTATTAGAGCTGATATGTTCTATAATAAAAATAAGTGTAACTGATGTGTTTAGGACAATATAATGTTAAAGTTGTTTAATAAGTAAATTCAAATAACAAATCTCAAAAATACTCAAAGAGATACAAAGATACCATATAATATCTTGATAGTTTTGATATCAAAATCAAATCAAAAATCAAGTACATATGAAAAAATGTTGAATCTATCAAACAAAAGTAAATAATTAAGAGCAAGTGCAAGAACACAATGATATACGAGGAAAGCCCTTAATCCTTTTGAACCGCTGACACAAAACCTTGGGAGGTGATGAATTCACTTTCCTTAGAACTTATATTAACTGAAATAAAATTACAAGCGCTCAATGATTGTGTAATAAGTGTAAAAGTGCTCAATTGTCGACAGAATGAGAGTGAGAGTAGAAGAAAGAATGTGTCCATGTATGATGATCAACTAGGATTTTATATATACTGATAATAACAAATAACTTGATATTCTAGGGATCTTCCTTGATCCATGCTCAACTCAGTTTCCTTAATAGTATTCAAAGTTTATAAGGCTCTTAACATGCTATTGGGTCCACTCCTTTGTAGTTATGCTCATAGTTCCTGCATAGGATATTTTAGAAAACACAGTGGCAATTCCAAGATATTGATTAAATCCAAGATGTTAGGATACATGGGGTGTTTGCATGAGGTCAAGATACTAAAATAGGTAAGATAAAATTCTATCCATAATGTGTGTGTATAGAAGTTGGACATGTTGCATTCTCTAATGTTTTCATGGTTTAGTCAAATTCTTCAGCCTCTATGTGGAACGTGCAATGCTTTGAAGTCGCATGCTCTTCGACTTTTATCTCTATCATTATTTTTTGTCCTTATCTACTCCATTTCGCTTCCTTTTGCCATGTTACAAAATTATTTATAAAATATCAATTCAAAGCATTTTAAGTATCCTTTATTTTCAAATATATCAAAACATAGCTCATAATATGAAGATATTGCCCACAATCTATATATATATATATATATATATATATATATATATATATATATATATATATATATGGAAAAGTGAATATGTAGTTGTCATGTATGTAAGATTAGGTATAGAACCATCTAAATTGACTTCATTTTGATTAAAAAAAAACACAATTTTCTTTCACTGTTAGCTTCTTCCTATTGCTTTTGAACTCATATTACTTTTTATTTTGTAATTCATCCCTAAGATCTATGTATTTTGAATGTGTTTTATTATTACATATCTAGTTGAAGCTTCATAACTTCCTCCGACACCTAACTTATGTATACTTGCATTGTTTTTTTTTTTTTTTTTTTTGATGGATTATAGGAAAAGATTTATCGGGTTTTTAGTGAACAATTTCAATCTTTCACTATAGTTTTCTGTAATAAATTTCAATATATCGAGGTATATGTAGTTGATAAAATATGCTTATACACGGTTTGTGGTGCAAAATTAAACTTATAAAACTCCATAATATATATATATATATATATATATATATATATATATATATATATATATATATATATATATATAAGCTCTAATAGAGGATACAAGAAATATGCTAGAGATATTTGATTGAACTTTGTTAAAATTATGTAGTTTTTTATGGTTCTGTACCTAATGTTAGGTACATAATAGCCATATATTCCCCAATCTCATATATATATATATATATATATATATATATATATATATATATCAACATCATACTAGTTCTATAATAGAATTAAACACTGGTGTA